CTGAACACCATCTGCCTGGCCATGCAAGTAAGTAAGCAAGCAGAAAACCTTCCAGGTGATGAATTATTAGTCCTTGTTGGGCAAAATGTATAAGTGGCCAAGGATGAGACCTACTTTCACATTCACACCATGTATTGAGGGAGAGGGGCAGGGGCATGATAAAAAGATTGTACTGTGTTTGTTCTGGATAACATGTAGATAAAATGAAGGATTTGCCTCTCCTCTTCCTGCTTGCATCTGACACTTTCAACAATTTTGTTTTAACTCTTTAAAAACAAACCAGTGGAAAAAAACAACAGTTACATAACAGACCCATTTTAAAAAATGAATTCTGGGTTCTGACTTGTCTTCTATGAAATGCAGAGATAAGCCCAGAACTGCCACTCACCTGAGATCTGAATTTTAAATTTTGGGCTTTTCTGTGTTAAAAGATAGAAAGCAAATATTTTAGCAATCAACAGAATGGGGATAGAAGATAGTAAGCCCCAAATTTCTTCTTTGTTCTGAGTTAAGAACTTTAAAAGCTGTCTAGAAAGAAATTCTAGAGACTATATTGTCTATCCCATGATGTAAAGGCCAGAGCAGCTCCATCAAAACATTTCCTTCCTTTCCTGACTAACTTGCTTCACTACTGATGCTGCTGTTTGTCTTAGTACCCACTATGCTGTGCCTGTGTTTTCCTTACTGTGGTAAGGTTTTCCAAGTATCCAGTGTGAATCCACCAGAGAAACATTTGCAGGTGGATCTACAAGAATAGCAAATAGAGGTAGTAGATTACCATGTGTAGGTGGAACAGCATTAAAGGGGAAGGAGTCAAAACCTTCTCCTCTGAACCATCCTCCCTGGTCTGTGCCCCAGAAAGTCCAAATACCCACTCCTCAATCAGTTCTTCTCCTCACTGCACAGACCCATATTTGCTGTTACCCCTCCATGGACATCCTTTATGAACTCTCTCTGCCTTTTCCATTTGATCGTCTGCTGAACTTTGTTCCCTTCTCTAGTTTGTCCCCTTCTGCGAGTCTAACTCCATGCACTCATACACCAGCTTCCTATTTGCCCTCAGCATCCCACATTTTCCATTGGATCAAACCCAGTCTGCCCCACTTCTGGCCCCCCCTCAAATCTAGCCTCAATTCCCTATCACTCACTAACAGTCTAAGTCTATATTCACAATCAGTTTTCACCTTGTTTTCTCTCATTGCCTCCAGTCTAATCCAAACAGATTTCTTGACACACTCACCTTAGTTTTTCTTCATCTGGTCAAACTCTTAACATGCCCATTGAAAATGCTTCCCCTGTGGTCTTGTCTTAAGGTATCAGCACAGGAGTGAGGCACAATGAGCACAAGAAAGTGCTCTGCTCTCAGCTGAAGTATCTACTGCCCTGCTCTCATGAAGCAACAGAGCGGGACTGTTGTATTTATGCTGAAGCTTTGAAGCATGCACAGTTGCAGTGGCAATGGTGCACGCCCAGGGCAGGTAGACGTAGAAGCTGTGAGATGTTTGTGAGCCCACAGGCAGCACAGCATCTCCAGAGATTTGAGGAAACCTATGTTCAATTTGAGAAAAGTACAGTTTTTCAAAGTCTTATACTGTGGCCAGATTTGGGTCAAACAATATAAGGGACAGCAAACACAAAAAGACACATTCCAGCAAAATTCCAAGTGTTTAAGCATAGTCCTGCTGATCCTAGAGTCTTTCAAGGAAAATTTTACAAGAAATGTTGAAAGCACATCAACAGTGTGGTTTTTCTCCCACCTTTCAGCTGCAGCTAAATTGTTTTAACTGCAATTCCTTTAAATAAATCGCTCTGAGCCAATGCAGAATATGACAATTCATCCCAGCTTGGTGAAGTTTAAGCAGCAACAACTGGGGTCTTGTAACATGAACTGGAAGATGACCTTAGAATAAGGCAGTGCAATCAGTCTCAAATATAATGATCTGGAAATAGGGATATGAAGAGTGAGACGGCAGTATTTGCAGAAGACACTGTTTGAATTAATCAATAGAAGACAGAGAGTAACCTCATAAGATCTTAATAAAGTTAAGTGAATAGGCAGCATGATTGCAAATTTAATTCAGAGTTGACAAATGCAAGATAATGCATATTGGAAAGATATGATTTGAGCTGTTTATGTACTTTGCAGAATCCTGAAATATGTGTAATTACTTGGGGAATGGCTTGGTATCATTATGAGCAGCTCAGTGAAACCCCTATTCACTGTGCAGTAGCAATCAAACAAAAAAGTAATCCAAGTGTTATGGATGGGTGAGATAACAAACACAATTGGAAACTGCCTTGGACCATTATGTAAATTTATAATGAGCCCTCAAGTGGAATGGTAAGTGTGATTTTGGTAACCCTGACTGCAAAAGATGTTTTTAAAAGATAGAAGATCCAGAGTCAGATGGCAGAAATGCCTAGACATATGGAAATGCTTATGTGTGAAGGGAGATGGAAATTCTAATTTGAAAAAACATACAGTGTGGTGAGGTTTACTTCAGAGGACCTTATCATGAAGGGAGATCAGCAGGGGCTCTGTGGATTCCTAACTAACTGCTATGCCAGTTCCTGATGCTGCTGCCATGACGCTGTATTTCAGCACTACGGTCAGAGCTGCATGTTCAAGGAAGCCATGAACATCCTCAACATGCTCTTCACTGGGCTTTTCACCGTTGAGATGGTCCTGAAATTAATTGCCTTCAAACCCAAGGTAGGTGCTACAGGTCTAGAGTTTCCTGGTCTCTGTGTGTGTGTGCACGTGTGTGCGGGGCAGCTGTGAGGAGAAGGAGGAGGTGAAACTTTCTGATCTGTTACCCCACCAATAACTGAGCTGGACAGTTGCTCTCTGGATTGGAGTCTCAAATATTTTTCATAAATTGTTCACTGGAGAGTAGACACACTAAAAAAGAAAAATTTTTTAAAAATAAAAATCACCTGCTAATAGATAAGTTTCCTAGTTCTCTGTTTTCATTAAGTTATGATAGTGATGCTATGTTAGGCTATGACATGTCTTCTATTCTGAATGTTATTCTAGTGGTCCCTCTGACTTTCCTTAAATTATAAATAGCATCCCATGAATAGTCTCCTGGCCCAAGTGAAGTTAATCAAGCATAACTCATTTTGAGTCATGAGCTTTGGAAAATATGTTTCTTCTGGGAAGGCAACATCTCAATGATAGTTTGAATTACTTTAGTTTTGAATTTAAGACTTCATTGATAATATTCAATACCCTAGCAAATCCTGTCTGAGACTGTGGTCCTGTCCATTGGGTCGTGGCATTCTGCTAGTGTAACTGCACCATGGAGTCTGATTATAACCTACAAGGTCTTCCAGCTAAGTTGGTACATTTGCTGCAGGACAAGGGCAAAGATTCTGATCTCACATAATCAAAAGTTACGCAAGGCATTCCTCTTTGGGGTTTAAATTCAGTGGTGTGTCATGAGGAGTGGAAGCCAGATACCTAAACATGGGTACCTTAGGCTACTTCATATCTTCAATGACACCTTGATACATAGGGTTGTATCTTGAAGGATACCTTGATACATTGGAGTTAGCAAATACTGTCAGAAGCATTAGTTATGACATTGGTAAAATAAGAACTGTTGTTCGCCCCTCTCTTCTGCTTCCATACTTTCTAGGACTTCTTCTTAGAAGAGTCACTTTTTTTTTTTTTCCTGAGCCAAATATCACTGATCACTGTCCTTTCTCAGATTTAGTTCTCTTGAAAGTTAGGAGCATCTTGCACAGTCCTAGTAAAGGACTGATATTTTTTTTTTTATTTGTGAGATCTCAACCAGTGTCTCAGGAAACAGAAGTATCATAATCTCTTTCAGATGGGATTGTAATTTCAGAAGGAAACTTCCTTTCACTTTTGAGATTTTGCCATGTCTGTTAGAAAGCAAATCTTCTGGCACTTTGTAAAAATACTATCTGCACATTATATACCTAGAAATTTATCTTACAGACTTTCTAACATTCTTCTGATTTTATGGTCCTACTTTACAGGAGATTTTTAACTTTTAGGAAGATTAGGTTCTCAGCAGAAGCTGTTTTGAGCATTTCTGGGAAAAGTTCAATCAGTTCAAATATATGTATACAGGGAAGGCTTTACCTGACATGGTTGTCTCGTAACAGGAAGGAATTGGACTTTATATTGCAGGTCCTTTTTACTTCTTGTGTCTTACTTTCCTGTTTTCAATCTCCTTTTCAATTTTTGCTGTGCAGCAAAGTATTAAGCAAAATGAACTGAAAGTAAACATTTATCGTCTGGATGGCAAAATGTTGGAACAAATTGCCTTAAGTGATTGTGGAATCTCCGTAGTTTGAGGTTTTGAGATTAAGTTAGGGGAAACTTTCATTAGGAACAGTTTAGGAATGTACAATCTGCCTTTGGACAGGAGAATGGACCAGAACATCTCACTACGTCTCTCTGTGACCAGTTTTCCATAACTCTGTTATTTCCAAATTAAATCCCCAGCTACTATAGTAAGAATTAGAATATAAAGGACGTTTTCATTGTGACCAGAATGGTAGAGTATGAATAAAGTCTTCTAAACTAAGGTTCAGAAAGCAACCTCGGGTGGGGTCCTGCCCATCCTGGAAGAATAGGCAGCAAAAAGAATAAATCTGTTTCAAATCCCAGTCTGTCAGGTATGCTAGAAATAGTACTAACTCTTAAACTTCTATTTTAATCAAATACCTTCAGGAAAATAAGTTTGTTTTGTTGTGTTTTGTTGGTTTTTTTTAATGGAACCATAGGATTTACAGGGAATAAAACGAGGAATGAACTTGTGAAAAAAACAAATACAGCAAAAAAACTTGCCTCTAGCAGTGAATTGCACTCGATTCTGTTTAGTACAAGTTCAGTGGCTCAACTTTGGAAACATCAAAATTCCTTGTGTAACTTGCCATTGTCTGTTCAGTACAAGATTGTCTGCTTCTTATAGACCCAATGTTCCCTTCAAAGAAGAAAACCCCCTCTCCCAGATGGCCATTTGGTCTGGTGTGGACAGATATTGGGGAGCACAATCTGCTTTTCTTTAGGTTGCACGTTAGGACTGAAGCTTGTCTGGAATACCTTCTGATGTGGGAGTCCCTCAGCGTGGAGAAAGTTGTTACCTCAGCTCTCTGCTTGGCCAGACCTTGTATCCCCCCATCATGCAATGCAAATTGTATATTTGCAGATGGAGGTTGTCCCCAGGAACACCAGCTGAAAAAATCCAAAAAGATTTAATTGTCCCCTGGATGAACATCACTATAGCACAGCCATCATCCTCTCCCCTCTAACCAGTCCAGTTACCGAGACAAAGAAGTGAGATGCTAAGTTATGCTAGGGTTCCCTACATGTGAAATGGCATGCTTAAATACTCGTGAGATCTCTGTGAGAACAGATTTGGCCACTATTTCCAGAGCAATAAAACACAAACTGACCTTTGTTTAAGCTGCTTTGATTAATTTTGAATTTGGGCCCAAACATCACTCTCTTCTATCTGAAGAATACCCTAAAATGAGGGAACTGCAAGCTTTATGACTGACAACAAGAAAACAGGAAAATTGTGTAGCTGAAGGTGGTGTGTCCTTGCCTTTGGAACAAGTCCCTGAAGAATGTGGCAGCACAGAACTGAAGCTGGCAACATTCATGCTGTTCTCTCCAAATTTGTGGTGCTTGACCCAGTGGTTGCTGCAGTTAACCCTCAGCTGCAGCAAGCAGCACAGCAACTGACTTCTAACTCTGAAGCAGCCCCCCCAGAGCTCTCCCTTGTGCAGCCACTTCCTAAAGGCACCTTGGAATGAATGGCCTGCAGCAGCAGCAGAAAATCGACGTTTTCTCCATCTGTGCAAGGCAGAACAAGCCGGTGTTTATTCATACTTTTACCAGAGGGAATTGCTAAGGGAACTGGGACAGATCTCTGAGGTGCTCAGAGCTGCTGTTGCCTTAGCTTCTTACAGAAGTCACCACAGGGAAGTGCCCTTGCAGCACAGCTTTGGGGGGAGCCTTAATATGCGGAGCTCCTGCTGCAGGCAGTGATGTGGCAATCGCTATCGTATTAAATCATATCGTGCACCACAGAGCAACCTGTTGCCAGACCAGGACACCTGTGTTATTACACGCACGACAACAAAAAGGGTGGCAATCTCTGACTGAATAGATTTTTTACTGTATCCAGTTTTTATTTCTTCACTCCCAGTCTGTGAGGAGATATCCTTCTTATTGTCACTCTAGATAGTAAAGGTGGAAACAAGCAAATGTAGTCAGTTGCATGGACATTAGGTAGGGTCACATGTGGGCCTGACTGTAAAAAACAATCCCCATGGATAATCCAGCCTTACTACCAGTTATAGTAGTAAGAGCACAGATTCACTTATTGAAAGACCAACTGTAGGAATAAGGAGCCAAATCTGAACCAGGGCTCATCTTGTAACACTTAGAGAAAGTATGTGAAAGGGGTAGAAAGACAAGGGCTTTCCTAACTAAAGATACTCTTACTGTTGAGATAGTTTGCTCTAGTCAGTAAGTCCCTTTGATACCTCTTGTTTTTATTGGCCATCTTCTGGGAACAGAGCTTTGGTTTGTTTAGTCTCCAAGGAGGCTATAGAGAGGTGCATTAGCTGGAGCAGCTGCTGCTGGGATAGACAGCATACAACAGGCTGGGGACAAGGGACAAGACCAGACTCTAAGAGCCCCCATGTTTCTCTGAAGCACAAGGAGACAATCAGTTCTCCCAGGTTTTTTGCAGGATAAATATAAGCAGTATGTAAGACAGCTCGTCTGTGTCTGATGCAGTCTTGACAGGAGGGTGTGCTAACAATGAGCAAGAGTGATTTGGGATTATTAGGGCTGCTGATAAAGAAAACATCCACTTACATGCACTGCATCTCCTTACAGAGTATTAATGTTCTGCTCTGAAGCAAAGCTCCCAAATGGACCTGAGTGTTTGTCTTGGCTGACACTCATAAACTGATTCAAGACTAGTTACTTCAAAAGAGACAAACAGTCTAAAAGTAATGCTGTTGAGCCAAGGCCTTGTGCTGCTTTGTTTTTCTAATTTTATAAATTCTCCAGCCAGCGTGGTGAGCTATTTTCCAGTTCCTGCATGGAGCAAACTGCTGCTGCTTCGTGCTTTTTCCAGAGAAAACTACCAAAGGCAATGCGAGCTGCTATGCTGTTTGAGGTGCTCACAGTCACTACTGCCCTGGATTCATAAGGAAGAAATCCCCAGAAGCACCAGTCCATGAAGGACCAGCTGCTCTAAAAAAAACCCGCCTAGGCTTAATCTTCTCAAATAAAAGACAACAACTTCAAATTCCTATTCAAATGAAGCTGTGCCATCTGTCAACGTACATGCTAATATGGGGATTGATATTCCTCCAGGAATTTCAGATCTTTCCATCTCCCTGGAATGGGCTGTTTTACTGATGAATCACATCTACTTTTTCTCCCAGGAAACATTTCATCTATCCCTTTATTACCTACAGCAGGACTAGTAATCCAAGAGCTATGAATTTTCAACTGCTCTCCCTCTCATCTCAAACTAGGGAAGACATGTCAGTGGAGCTACTCCCATGCATAAAGTGAAGTGTGTTAATATAAAAATGTAATATATAAAAATATAAAAGATGTTTATATATTTTGTCAAATCCAGGACTGTGTGGAAAGGAAATGTTAGGGGGTTCCTCTGCGGAATTACGACTATCAGAAAGACTACAGAT